CCCCAAAACCCCAAAACCCCAAAACCCCAAAACCCCAGAAGAGAGCTTTTAGATTGAAGTATATTAAAATCTACATTATTTCTTCCCATAAATTTTCTGTGTTTTCATATCCTTCTACTGGGAATGTACTTTCTTGAGCATCTAGATCAGCATCAGAGTGATCGCCTTCATTCAGTTTGGCTCTTAAATTTTTCTTAAAGAGTGGATCCAGAGTTAATTTCAAGGCATCATCAACCATTCTTGGAATAAGAGCTTGTAGAATTTTACTCGATTCTTCAAGGCAAGGATTTGTATTGATTTCAATAAGCCAGGTCTCAAAATTCTCATCAATAATAAAGTCATAGCCAAAAAGCTCGAATTGTGAGTGTTTATTGTCTTTAAAAAGGCAGCTTTCAGCTGCCTTGAAAGAAGCAACAATAGACTCTTTCATTCTTTCTACAAGATCTCTCTTAACATTTATTCCAGAATCAGAGTAGTGTTCATCAATATAATCTTGGAAATAGTTAAAAGAGAGCTGATTACCATCTTCGAATTGGCCATAATTCTCTGAGTACTTTTGAACAGCATTATTAGTCAAATGAATATATGTCTTGTCAATGGCATCTTGTCCTAATGAGAAATCCTCACAAGAGGTTCGAAGATACCCTTCTTTAAAGAAGCAGACTTTGAGATCAACAGTGAGCAAGACCCATACTCTAATGTCAAACTTCCTTTTATTTATCAATAAAGGTCTTTCGATGTACTTCTGGATTACAAAAGTAGAGCTTTGTATTTTCCTAGGAGCACTACTGATATTACTAAACGTGGAATCCTTTGTATTTTCCTTAGAAATATCCCCTGAAGCTTGGGAATTTTCATTGGAATTAATTATAATTCCCTTCTGTAACTCCTTTATCAACTCTAAAATTTCATCACACGATTCATTTGCTTGGATCACATAAATACCTCTCCCACGGTTTAGCTTAGTAACCTTCAATATCCACATATTATGCCCTGAGAAGTGAGTTTCAGGGAGGTTGAGCTTCTCTCCAGTTTTGTTCCATCTGCTCTTCTTTGAATTAGCAACTGGGTGGTAACTATCACTGAACTGATCTACGAATTCTTCTCTGCTCATCTCCTCTTGTGAATATTGATGAACTAATTTTTGCAAGTTCTTGAATTTATTCAAGTCATTGAAATTACTATCCTGGCTCAACTCGATTCAAAATGTCATCGGAACATATTCAAAAACTTTCTTATCCAAATTCTCACAAAGATTCTTGAATAAATTATCCTTAGTAGTAATCTGAGCATGGTTTTCCATATGGTTGACTAACTGCTTACTTCCCATTGGTAGAAAGCTGGTTAAACTTGATGCCTTGACTTGTTTGTTGCCACTTGAAATTAAACATGGTATCAAACTGAGCGGTTTGTTCCCATCCTGGTCTTAACTTCATTCATCTCTCAATGACATTGCTGTTGTTACCCTTCATAATTATGTACTTTAAGCATTGCTTTTGAGAATTTATTTTGTAATTTGAAGACAGATTGTTATAAATCTCAGTTGCTTTCTTTCGTAATGCTAGCTTCTTCTCCTTCTCTTTAGCAACTTCGTCATGACTATTAGCTAGAATAACACCCACACGAACTCCTTGAGGCTTTCTGAAGAGCTTAGGTTGACTTGTATGAGAGATCGATTTGTCTAAATTCCTGGTTACTTCATCTTTGTCTTCAGGCAAGGTTTTTTCAATTATAGATTCTTTCCTTGAGTGAGATTTCTCAGTAACTTTTCTCTCAATTTGATTCAGATTTTTATGCTTGATCAAATCTTCTTGGGATTTTTCTTTAAACCCTTGAGAAGTATTTCAACATTTGTTTCGAGGTTTAGGCTTGTTTTGAATAAGTTTCTTTCCATTGCTATTAAGCACATCTCGAGTTTTAAGCTCCTTCGGGCCGAATCTTTTTATTGGAGCCTCTCTTTCACCTAAAAGAAGCCATTAGCTCGTGCTTTTCAACTCTAAATTTTGAAAGGATTTAAACTAAGAAATTAACCTTTGAAATTATTCTGAGAATCAGCGTGAAATTCTGCTAACTTATTTAGCATTCAAAAATGCATGATCTGCTTGAATATTCTTCTTTCTTCCTTGAACTGCAAGAAAGCTCTTCTGAGTCTTTACAGCAGCATGGTCTCTAGAGCCTTGCCTCCATTGAAACTTCATCTTGTTGAACGGTCTGGTGAAAGTAGCAACCTTATAAACAGAGCCATCTCGGAACTCAGCTTGGGCTCTCTGAGTCATGCATTCATTCTTTTTCAATTGCAGAATCTTCTTTCTTTCCTCTTCTTTCATAATAGCTTTCTGGTAAGTAGAAGTCCTCTCTTTAAAAATACTTTCACTGGTAGGGAAATTGCTAGACCTTTTCCTGTTGAGCTTCATAGGGACATAGCCATATCGGTGATCATCATAATTTGTGAACTTCAGCTTGCTCTGCCTATCTTTTATGTAGTTCATTTTCTGTTTGAACTTAATGTATTTTTTGTTAGTATACTCCATTCTGCTAAGCACGAGCTCTTCTTGCTCTTCTGTCCCTCCGAATACTGTACCTTGGGATGGCTCAGGAGAAATATTTTGAAACATATTCCTCCGGTTGAAGTTCGGGAGTACTTTTTCTCCTAAAAGTGATATAATCTCTTACCAGCAGCTGTTTCGGAGTTGAATACGATCCCGTTGGTACTCATAATTCGATTACAGCTTTGTTCCTTACCTGGAGTAGAATCTAGCAAATAATGACTATCGTTATTTGCTAATGAGTCCTCATAATTCTTTGAATTACTCAATTTTCTGACTGAGAATTCGGGAAGGATATTTCTATCCTCTCTCACCGCACCAGGAGCTACTTCTAAGATATTTCATTTGTATCATGACCCAGCTGGTTCCGGTGAACACCAGGGAGTTTTGAATACTCAGAGCTATGAGATCTGTCTTCAGCATTCTCTACCAAGTTCATTTGGTGAGACAGGTTCTCTATCCTTCTGATAGAGCTCTTGTTCTGTAAACTAGATCCTGCATGAGAGTCGTTAAATTCTCGAACAGGAGTTGGCCTAAAAGCTTTTTCCTCTTTTCTGAAGACTTTGCCAATGGAAGTTTGATACATACACTTTATTAGTGCTTTTCCTGTATTTTCCATCAGAAATATTTGTGTAGGCTGTCCCAAGAATATTACTGCCTTTTATGCCAATTTTATTTCCAGGGTTTAAGGTCCTTACAAAACTCATTTTATTCTCTGACAAAACGGTCGAAACTGATTTGAGAGGTTTCTCATCACTCGGAACTTCTCTAAGCAAGTGTTGGTTCTTGGTCTCATAGACTTTTATAGTGATACCGTGACATCCGCTGTTTAGCCCTGATCCTACTGGCTTCATTTTATATTATATTTATCCTACAGCTCCCATCAGACTGGGGTTTTGGGGTTTTGGGGTTTTGGGGTTTTGGGG